TGGCGACCGGCTCGGCGCAGCGGGCGCAGGCAGGACGGAGGCCGAGGACCCCCAGATTCCTGGCCCGCTGTTCGCTTGTTTTTCCTACTTCCACCCCCACTGGCTCTGCTTTAATAGAACAAAGCTGCCCAACGTGGCTCTCTGCAGTGACTAAACAGCCTGTTCTGTGCGGCCCGACACCGTAAGCTACCAAGCTACCGAGCGCCCGGAGTGCGGCTGAGCGCGCATGAGGAACTGAACTTTGAATTTTACTGCGTCTTAGTTCGTTTGAAACGAAACAGCCACGTGTGGCTAGTGGTCCTCGCGCCGATCAGCACTGGGCCAGACGCTCATCCACTTACCCTGTGGATTCGACCCGAGCTATTCTGTCCTGAGCGACGTTTGGCTGCACGTCTGTCTCCTTCGCTGGAGCGCCATCTTCTCGAGGGCAGGGAGTACGTTTCATTTACGGCCAGGTCACCCGCTCCCAAGGCTTTACACGATGCCGTGCAAAGCAAGGTCCTCGTAAGCCACACTGTGTGGAATTTTCTGCTGAGAGGGAATTCGTCCCACGTGGGCAGCTGGGGCTTGTCATCTAAACCTTTGCCAATCCAGAGGCATCCTAGGCTTCTCTCGTCAGAACAGCTGGTCACCCGATGAAGACGGAGGAAGAGAGAAAACCGTGTTTATGAGACGCTTTTGTCGGATGGCCCTGCGCTGGCTGTGGCTTCGAGGCAGAAGGCGAGCATGTGGCGCCTGAGCTTTGGGAGCTTCCTGTCAGAACGCAAGGGTGACAGCTGGGGGTGGGCGAGACCAAGCAATGATAGGACCAAATTTGAAACAGAGAGGCAGAAACTTGAACTTGCATATGAATGTTTTCTCCTTAAAGGATTCGCCCCAAGTCTATGCAGAGTCCGAGAAGGGATAAAAATTACTAATGAAGACGCCTTCTCAGGCTCCCTGCCCTCCTCCGGATCCTGCGATTGGCTCAGTTCCCCTTTGGCCCTCCCTCCTGGAAAGGGGGTGGCTCCCTTGTCGGGGGAGGGTAAGCTGAGGCAGATGGGGAGAGTCGAGGGCGGGGGCTGCAGGTCTGAGAAGCTACATAAGAGAAAAAAGATGTCCACGGAATGGCCGTAGAGTCTGGCAAACGAATTTCTTCACAGGGTTTGGGAGAGGCAAGTCCAGAACTTGAGTCATGTTGGAATTGACCTCAGATGCCTTGACCACAAGGCAGCCCGGAGACTGGACCGCGTGGGGCCAGATTCACGGGGCCACCGCTTGGACCTGTCTCTGCTGAGCACAGCACCTTCTCTGAGCCACCTTGCTGGGGGCGAAACCTCCGCCTGTGTAGGGGACGCCTGTCGCTGGACACTACCCAAGTGGTCGGGAGCCAAGTTTGGTTAGAGGTTTGGCAATGCTGTATTTGCCCAAAAGTGACTAAAATGATCATAATTTCATGACGCCGACTTTGCTGTGAGATTTGGTAAAACGGTTCTGAAGACATTTCTGAAGAAGAAAGATTTCAGTCTGGGTTTGTTCTGGATTCAAAGAGGAGGTTTCTGAGGACACCCATCAGCCCCGGCTGTCCTCCCTCCATCAGCCTGGCCCCTCCGACTCTGCTGGGCCGTCACCCCCAAGCCTGCTGCTTCCTGGTCCCCATCTCCTCTGATCAAGGTACAGAAAATCCCTTTTCCGTGCTAGAAAGAGACATAGCAACATGCAAAATCGTGCTTCCACTGGGGAGAGAGCACCGGTTCTGCACTGGGGGAATTTTGGCCTCCCGGGGGACCTGTGGTGAACTCTGGAGACGTTTGTGGATGTCACGACCGGGGCCCGGGGCGTGCTAATGGCATCTAGTGCGTGGAGTCCAGGGATGCTGCTAAGCATCCTGCAGAGCACAGGACGGCCCCACAACAAAGGACGGGCCAGCCCCAAATGTCGGTGCCGCTGAGGCTGACGATCCCCTGGGATCAGGGAGCCGAGGTGGCTTTTCACTTCCTTTGGTCATTTGCCAACTTTTCTAAAATGAATAGATATACATAACTTTGGATTCAGAAAAAAAAGACGTTTAAAGAAAGGAAAACCCCTTTTTCTTTCAAGTGATGCAAGCTTGGCCTTTAAAGGGGGAAAAAAAAGAGTAATTATTAAGGCACCAAGGAAAAACAGGAAATACAGAAATAGGGAAATAAACGAATTCAGAGAATTCGATGTGACGAATACTCTTGAGTAGCAGTCAAGTTCGGGACGCTGCAGGATGCTTGGCCGGTCCAAGAGGAACGGGACGGTGTTCCAGGCCCAGAGGCGGTCACGGTGCGCCGTGCGGAATCTTACGGGCCAAGCAAGACTCTGCAGAAGACTCTTTTTTTTACCAGTTGAGGGCCTGGGAAGGCTTCGGGAGGAATCCGAGGCACTCGATGGGGTCTTGAAGACCAGATAAGGTGTCGGTATCATCCAAAGGCAGACTGTTGTGTTCAGACCCTGCCCCTCCCCGCCCCTACCGCTTAAAAATTGGGCAATCTTGGGCTAATTAACTTCTTTACGGCTCTGTTTCTTCATTTGTGAATCTGGTGTAATAATGAATGAATATTGTCTTCTGTAAGGAGTCACTGCTGGTTCATCAAGGTCTGTGACGGGGTAAAAGTTATTAACGAGGAAGGATTGTCAGACCAACCCTAACCCATGGGGCTGAGAGGCAGAAGTGAAACGGGGCATGGGTGCCCAGCACAGTGCCTCCTGCACTTCTGGCCGGGGGAGGAGGCGGCCAGCAGCTGGACCATGCCAGGTGTTTGGGGGCGTGGCTGGAACCTGCCACTCAAAGTGTGGTCTTCAGACCAGCAGCTTGGAGGGACCTGGGGGCTTTTAGAAAATTGAGATGCTCGAGACATCGTCCCAGGCCTGTCAAAGCAGAATCTGTGTTTTCACAAGCTTCCCCAGGTGTGTGCATTCAAGTCTGAGAAGCGGGGAGCCGAACCCAGGAGGAGGGGTGCGGGGCAATGCAGCTAAAGTGGGGTGCAGACTGGGGAGGGTGGCGTATGCTCTGCCAAGGAGTGGAAAAATGGCAGGTATATAGATAGATACATTTTAATGTGTATGTTATAAGGTAACACACACAAAGTCACACTTTCTTTGGCAAGCGGAGGGGGCTAGCAAAGATTGTGAGAGGAGGTCGATCCGAGTCTCTGGGTGGGATGGGCGTCGGGGCCTGATGCTTGGTTGGTAGAGGACTTGGAGGCAGGGGGACCAGCTAACCCACTGCAGTGGAGGGGGCGGGGTCAGGCAGAGACTTGCAGACCCCTCGAAGGTGCAGGGGACAGGGAAGGAGGACGCCCCTGGGGAGTCCAGCACATCGCTGAGGATCCAACCGAGAGCCTCGGTCCTGCCTTTCCCGTCCCCGGCTCTGGTCCTGGCTCTCTGCCTCCACCGTGTCCTCGGGACGTGGCACAGGGCACAGCTGAGGGGGCTGGCAGAGCCCTCTTTCCTCAGAGCCGTGACAGCGGAGCTCACATGCAGAGCAAGGAACAGAGCCCCAAGTCGCCCTGTGGAGAGGGTCACGCCCGGCCCGGCTCCAGGGCCTCTGAGCAAAGGGGCGTTTGAAGGAAGCCCACGTCTTCCCAGACGCGTGAACGGCGCGCTCATCGGGGTGGGCGATTACTGCCCACCGTCTCAGCCTTCTATTTCCC